ACCATGGTTTTTACGTAGGAAACATCCTCTATCTGGATCGTAGGGGGGGGGGTTACCATATATATATATATATGTTTCTACATGTGACTGTAGAAGTGCTGTAAGAAAAGTACAGAAACTTTGTAGAAGGTGAAGGATCAGTGTGGGGAATATTTGCGTGCCTTCACAAACAAGGACGAATAACTTGTGGCGGAACTGCAAAGCTTTCCGAGCCTCTTTCCACCCATGTTTAATTATCGAATTGCAGCTCAAAGTCCGGCGGATTTTGGTTCTTCCCGCCATGACAGGAACCTGAACTGAAGTCCTGACGATTATCATAGTGCAAGACAAATGAAAGACCTGCAATGCCTGGATTCGGGAAGGGGTACTCTTCAAAAAGCAATGACAAAATACTTCCCGAATGCTGCTATGGTTTGGGCTCCATGGTATATTGCAACGAGGGTGTTTGACAAAATTGCAAGTCTTGACATGAATGTCTTGTAACTGCTCGCCATGGCCGCGCTACAGGCTGTTGCGAGCAGGCCCGCAGCTTTTCCTCATGTAGCTGCAGCACACTATAGAGGTCAACTACCAAAAAGATCATTTACCATGCTATCGAATGCGACCTAACACCAAGGCCTTTCCAGAACCATCTTACCGTTTGGAGAGTGAGTATATACCCCAAACCCAATAGCCTATACAACCCCACATATTCCTACATACCCTTCATATCATCCCAGTAAATACCTATAGACCCTCTGATCACTCGCCTGACCCTTTTGGCTCTGAAGTATCCCTCCGAACCTGGGGGCGCTCTGCTTGAAGCTGAAGGAAGCACAGGAAAAAGGCCCAAGGCTGAGGGCCCATCCTCACCGAAAAGGTGGTTTGGGGTTTAGGGTTTAGGGTTTGGGGTTTATAGGGTTTATAAAGGATTATTATAGGTAATTTAAAAGCCCATGAGTTCCATATTTAGGGGCTAGTACTGTAGAGCGGATTGACCAAAGTTTTTGGGACGAGGCTTTAGGGTCTAGGGCTGAGGCTCTAGGGTTTGGGGTTGAAGGTTTATGCTTTGGGTCGGATGTAGTACTGGGAGTATGAGAGCCCTGTAGCACTAGAGACAGTCTAGCATTCTATGACAGCTTGAAGAAGGTTGGACTGCTCTAGTCTGCATGGACAGTCCAGAAAACAAAAGCCCTATTCACGGACACTGTAAAATTCTCCTCCATGAAATGTGCATCCTACATTTGGGAGGACTGGTCTTGACAACTACATAGATACGGACTGTGCTGTAGGTTTCTTCTATTGTAATGGTCAGGAAGCAGTGCTGGGCGTGCTCAAAAATCCTAAGCTGTACAAAAAGGGCTGTAAGCAAGCCTTCTGGAGTACACTCACAGTCTCTATCCGCTTGTCGCGTCGGATATTCAGACTGCTATGAAATATACGATGGGGTATGAAAAAGCCATACCAGGATACTTACAGCAACTACAAGTCATCTAGGTTGTATAGATATAGCATCCGCGAAAAAATCGTGCGGGACTGAAGCGGGATTATACGGTTGTCTGTAGCGCAGCCTGGACTAAAATGGCTGACCCAACTATTGGGATAATTAAAAATAAAATGGAAACTACTATAGTATATCCTTTTGGGGGTCCAAATAATAACGGTTTATCCCAGTTTCTTCCCCAAGCTAGTTGCTTCCTGCTGGGTATGGAATTGGCTGGGCCCCAGGCAACGAGCTTCAAAGGCACATGGCAGCTGTGGAGGATTTGACAAACTCCGAGTTATTGGGGCCGCTGGCTGCGGGAAAAGATAGCGGCAACCTGCGCAAAGAAGAATCCCACACGCGGACTCCGGTCCATCGAGTCATGTGCATGCCCATATCGGCATCAAAGAAGCACCCCGTGCCATGCCAGCATGCATGGCAGGTCTAATTTTGCTTGTGAAGATCACTCCCCTGCCTAGGTTTGGGGCTCTTATCCAAAGCCAATGAAGCTCCAGGATGTAGGACCGGAAAAAATCTCATAGGGATTGTAGGGCTGAGGGTAACCAAGCATCAGCTGCTATGTTCAAATCGAGTCAGGTCTGGCGTGCTCAGTACATCAGGTGGTGCAGGCCATCGTTTTCGCACAGCGCCCACTTTAGCTCCCTCGAAGAGTCTGAAGAGGGCCAGAGAACATCCCTCAATTCCTCGAAAGCCTCTGCAGCGGACACTGACATGTTCTTTCTTCTCAAGTCTAGTTGTTCTTCCAGTACGGTGATGGCATACCAGCAGACTACATGGCGGCTGTTCTGATACATGCACGACAGTTTCCTTAGTCCCCAAACCTTCCAAGGAACTTGATCACGTTTCATAGCAGTATCTAATGAGCAACAGAATGGACTGCTCAATATGGTAGTTTCCCGAAATAGGTGGTCAATATAGATCCCAATAAACTGTAACCCTTATTATGGGAACCCCCGAAAAGGTACCCCTAATTTGGGGAAACCCCAATATGAAGAATGGTGAGTCCACTTCTGCAAGCAACCGGCATTTCGCTAAGCCCTTTGAGCTCTTAAAACCAACTGTGTGGAAACCGGCTCAGCCAGCGAGGAGGTTGAGGGCTTTCTGGGTGAGACTGTACCAGACATGAGAGCGCGCGAGACAGGCTGCCTCTTTACAACTTGCAGCTCTCTTTGGAAGACTGAGAGGGAAGCTTCAACATATTCTCTGCAAGACTCCAGTGGCCCTAAACACCAAAATTCTCTCGACACTCACTCCCCACAGGGAAGAACCAGTTCGACAAGCAGTCCCGGGGATCAAGGCAACATACCTCTATACTCCGAACAGCCCTCTTCGTCATGTTGATCCTAGCGCACTCCATCATCAGGGGTCAGGGAGTCAGGATGTCTGCGCGACGCGCACATGTCCAGATAGCTGCATGTCGATGTGCCCTGCACACTCACGGCACTCAAGCTCGGAACATTGTTTTTCCAAGCCTTGACTTGGAGGGACTGAAGCTCAGCCCATGTGTCACCTGAAATCCAGCTGGCAGGCCTCTAGACATCTTGCACGACCCAGCAAGTCTGGTACATGCTTTTGGTTCAGGGGAGTCTCTGATAAAGCCAGGAGAGAAGTAAAAAAGGTCATGACATGCACTCATGCGGCAGGTTGTCAGAATTATGTTCTTCTTCTGGGACGACAGACGATAATGGCACCCAAAAAACAACCGTAAACTTGACCACTCATTTATAGGGTTGCCAGTCTAATCCCTAATCCCTAGCCCCTAAACCTGAATCCTTAAACCTTAAACTCTAATCAAACCCTGAATCCTTAAACCTTGAACCCTAATCTCTTAATCCTAAATCCTAAACCCTGAATCCTTAAACCTTAAACCCTAAATCCTAATCCCTAATCCCTACCCCTCTAGACCCTGAATCCTTGCACCTTAAACCCTAAACTAAACCCTAATCCCTAAACCCTGCATCCTTAAACCCTAAACCCTAATCCCTAAACTAACCCCTAAACCCTGAATCCATAAACCCTGATCCCTCAACCCTATACCCCACAATCCCTAAAGCCTAAACCGCCAAGGCCTTCACAAAGGAAGGCTTCGCAAAGAGCATCTTAAGGACCTCAGGGACCCAGGCGCCATAGGCGTGCAGGGATACATAGGGGTTTAGGGTTTTAGGGTTTTCGGGTTTTAGGGTTTTCGGGTTTTAGGGTTTAGGGGTTTAGGGGTTTACGGGTTTAGGGTTGCGGGTTTTAGGAGTTTAGGGGTTTAGGGTTTAGGGGTTTAGGGTTTAGGGGTTTAGGGT